ATGAGGCAGTCCAGGATCATGGGGGTAAGGCAGAAGAATAGAACTGAGACCATGATCTAATCATCCATGATCTTCTGGAATGGTGGAGAAAGCTCAAGGAACCATTTGACTTACTTCTGTTCCTTATGGTTTTATGTCACTACCATAACACATTTTTAGAATCATGGAATCATACAATTTTACAGGACAGAAGGAGGCCATTTAATCCATCACGTCTATACAGCCTCCTGAGTTACCAGCTAGTCCCACTCTCCAGTTCTATCTCCATAGCCGTATAACATGGTGACTTTCAAATATATATCCAGTTCTCTTTTGAAACCTCTAATAGAATTCGCTTCCATTACTGTCCCAGGCAATGCTTTCCAATCCTAAGAACTCTCTGAGTAAAGAAGTTTCTCCTCATCTCACTCTTAGCAGTCTTGCATACCAATTAGTCGAAATTTTGTTCTCTACATTCCGTGCATTTACATACTTACAATTTAACCCTACCTTTATTTCTTTCTTGCCCGTTGAAGGCGATTATTTCTTTGTTGACTGTCAACACTGAATCCTTCCCTCCTTCCCTTTTCTCCATTCACCATCTTTTCTTTTTTGCCCTCCAAAACCAGGTCCATTTGACAACCCACCCGTGCCTTACAAGTTTAAATCCACCCCATTACATTATTTATTTTCTCATCCAGGAGATTGGCTTCACCTGAGCAGAAAAGGAACTAATCTCCTCTGAACAGCTTTCTCCTTGCCCAAAAATGATACCAATGTCCTAAAAATCTAAACCCCTCTCTTTTTACACCACTGTTCAAGCCATGCATGTGACCTCCCTGTTCTGCCTTTGCTTAAATGGAGAAGCTTGTGGTACAGGTATTGTTAGGGTTTAGCTGATTGGCACACATTAACTGCAAAAATCTTCCTTTAATTGCAATCCACCAAGAGTTGCAATCTTGTGCACGCTTAAGCAGATGATGAAAAGCATATTGAATCATTCATCCTGAATGAATCATCCATCTAGAATAACTGTGAGATGACAAAATCTGTGCAAAGTCCTGTGTCTCTAGATAGCAGAGTGAATAACTTTACTTGTCCAACTAACATAATGGGCAGCACGTTTATTAAACTCCAGAGTGTTGTTTAATGGAATGTTATTTGTTGCTTGCCAAAAGGGAGGTTAACCGTAAGGTTAAGTGATGTGATTAAACACTTGACCTAGATTTGTAATTTGCATTTTTCTCTTCCAAGATGTAATTGCATATCTCCTTTATTAATTTTGTTAATCAAGAAGGAGGATGTATTCCCATGTCAACCAGAGGGTTTGTCACCGTTGCTGTAAATCTAGTTGGTCTATTTTCAGCATGCTCTTGAATTTATTCATCGATTTAAATTGACTTCTGTAAAATTTAAAAATAAACTGTGCTGGAAGTGTTGATCCCTGTAAGTTTTTCAAAGTACATTGATGTGCATTTGAAATTTGAAATTAAAATTAAAGAATCAGTAAAGGAAAGCTACATTTTTACAGTTGCCCCAATAGTTTACTATGAAGCCAAGTGAAAATCTGAGCATCCCAGATTTTATTCCTAATTAGTACTGACACTAGAGGCAGTATCTCAGACCTGATCAGGATCTCAGCTGCTGGCTTGTGAGCCTCCAAGAGATCTGGAAGCCTCTTTTCAGGAAAATCCGTCATATCCTGTTCTATTCAGGCACTTGATAGACTAGCAGAGGGCCTAACCCCAGTGGTAAGAACTCATTTATTGAAAGGTGTTTTGTTTTAAGGAGGTGATAACCTCTGTCAGTATGACACTTGTATAAAATGCAGGACGGTTAATGAATCCCAGGTTAGAGGTGAATAATGGCTGAGGAATTGTCACAAGGAAGGCTCAGCAGCAAGAGCAACTGGGTGGCTTTTGGCATCCTTGTTCCTCAGCAAATGCCTTTGAATGAATAACCCACATCCTGCAAGGAGAACCTGCAAATAACTGGCACAGGTTTCCTTGTCGTGCTTGCCAAATAGCAAGTCACCTGTCTGCCATTGGAATAATACTAATAACAATGGGATGAGGTCCTAAAGTAGGCATTAAATGCCCCCTTTAGGGGCCTAAATTGACAACAGGGAAGGAAGTTTGTCATAGGCCATCCCACTGCTGACTTCATCTGCCTGACATACAGACCTTTCAACCTTGCAAAGTCCTCCTTGCCAACATCTGGGGTTTTTTTTTTTTTGTCAAATTTGGGAATGCTGCACCATAGACTAGTTGAGCAAAGTCCGGACAATAGCCATGCTCGCAGAATTGTAGTTCATACTACATGAGAGTGTGTCATCATCGTCCCTGGGATGTGCTGTCCAGACACCACAGACCCACCAGCGGTAACATACAGTTGGGAGAACAGTAGTTTTTATTTTCTTGGAGTCCTCAACATTAAGTTCAGATGTCATGAGGTGTCATGACACCAGGCAAAGAAATCACCTGCAGAAAAGCTAATTGCAGCCCCATCAGTCTATTCTCAATCATTAGCAAAGTGATGAATGGGGTCATCGACAGTCATCGGCTTTCAAATGGCACCTATTCAACAATAAACTGCTCACTGATCTAGGTTTACGTTCACACAGCTCTGGACCTTATTACAACTTTGTTTCAATAATAGTCAAAAGAGTTGAACTCAAGAGGTGAGAGTGACTGTCCTTTATCAAGGCAGCATTTGACCACGTGGCATTAAGAAGCCTATGCAAAACTGGAGTTGGTGGAAATTTAGGGACAAATTCTCTGCTGGTTGGAGTCATACCAGCACAAAGAAATATGGTTGTGGTTATTGCAAGCTAATCATATCAGTCAAAGGACATCCCTGCAGGAGTTCCTCAGGGCCATGAGCTCAGCCCAGCCATCTTCAGCTGTATCATCAATGAGCTTTTTCCCTCCATTGTAAGGTCAGAAGTGTGGACTTTATCTGATGATTGCACAATGTTCAGCACCAGAGAGACCTAGAGATTCAGGTACATAATTCTTTGAAATTTGCATTACAAGTAGACAGGGTGCTTAAGAAGGCATTTAGCACACTTGCCTTCATTGCTCAGACCTTGAGTATAGGAATTGAGACATCATGTTGAGGTTGTACAGGACGTTGGTGATGCCTCTTCTGGACTAGTGTGTGCATTTCTGGTTACCCTGTTATAGGAAGGATTTCATGAACTGGACAGGGTTTGGAAAAGATTTGCTGGCGATGGAGGATTTGAATTATAAAAATAGGCTGGATAGGCTGGGACTTTTTTCACTGGAGCATAGGAGGTTTGTAAAATCATGAGGAGCATAGATAAGGTGAGTAGCAAAGGTCTTTTCTCTAAGGTGGATGAGTTCAAAACAAGATGTCATATTTTTAAGGAGAAAGATTTAAAAAGGACATGAGCAATTTTTATATGCAGAGAGTAGTTAGTGTGTGGAATGAATTGCCCGAGATGGATGCAGGTACTGTTACAATGTTTAAAAGATATTTGAATAAGTACATGAATTGGAAAGGTTTGGAGGGATATGAGTCAAACGCAGGCAGGTTGGATTTGTTTAGTTCGGAAACATGGTCGTCATGGACTGGCTGGACCAAAGGCTCTGTTTCCATGCTGTATGACTCTATAACTATTCATAATTCCTCGGCTACTGAAGCAGTCTGTGTCCAAGTGCAGCAAGACTTAGACATCATTCAGACTTGAGCTGAATGTGGCACATAATTTTGAGCCAGATGTGCCAGGTAATGAGAGAGCATCCAACCTTCACTTCTTGACATTCAATGGTATTATCATTGCTGAATCTCCGACTACCGGCATCCTGGAGATTACCATTGACCAGAATTGGAGCAAACTCATAAATTCTATGGTTACAAGAGCAGATCAAAATCTGTACACCATTTCCTAGGCATGAATTGGGAGTGTGAATACTCCCTACTTGCCTGGATGATGCAGCTCCAACAACACTCAAGAAGTTTGATACCAGCCACGAGTTTGCTTGATTGGTGCATTATCGCACACTTTCAATATTCAATCCCTACATTGTCAACATAGTTTTGTACCATTTACAAAGTGCATTGCAACAACTCACCAAATCTCCTTTGACCTTGCTTGCAGCAGTTAAAGAAGGCAGCTCATCACCATTTTCTCAATCACAAATTAGGATAGAGCAGTAAATTCTGGCCTAGCCAGCAATCTGTGAATGAATATAAAAAGAGTTATTTATAACAGTATGCACATATAGGCAATAGTAGTTGTGATGTCCACCATGGTCAAGTTGTTCACTAACCAGCCCCAGGTATGAAAAAAAATGTTAGGGAGCAGACAATACATGTGGCAAAATACCCCAGCAAAAGCTGACACTTTCAAAAGAAAGAATTAGAAGGAATGACTGAGCATTCCTAAAAGTCACAGGGAAAGACAGCTGTTTACCTAGTCACCCTACACTGCTCTATTTTATGCATTAGAAATACTGACTTGAAGCCACATCAAAACAGGCACACTAAAATTTTAAACAAGTTGCCTCTTTATGATGCCACCAGAAGCAAAGCCTCATGATGGCACAACACGTGCCTCTAATTATTCAGTCTAAGGACTAAAATGGGATACCAAGTGATACCAATAAATATTGTTTTTTTTAGCATGTTAGGCTTGTTTGCAATTTGTTAACATGTAATTTTACTTGAAGTAATTTCAATTTACAAGACTTCTGGGGTTATCCTTGTACACAAATGTTCTATCACCATCATAACCTAAATCTATGGAAATATATGAAAATGTATTTAACAACTTGTTAAACTACGGTAAGGTTTAAATTTTCTTTTCCTTAGTTGCACGCCGAGAAGCAAACACTTTTCGTTATTTCTTGACTGTTTTGTTGCCACGACTAGCAAATATTGTAACTTGACATTAGCTTTGGTGTTCCTTTTTAACAAATAGCATTTCGAATCTTTCTCAGATTCTATTGCACAAAGAGTAATCAACTAATCAATAAATGAGTATAATCTCTTTTCAGAACTTCAGACGACAGTGAGCAGTGTGAAAGCCTCATTCCAATGCATGGTGTTTCTCAGGAGGAAGGAACCAGTTGTTGTTCATGAAGCACAGGTATAAGATTATACTGTTGTATATTAACATATTTACCATTTGCAGATTGCTAACTACCTGAATATATGAAAATCCATTCCATGCCTGTATATCCATGAAAGATATGTAAAGCTTAGTTACCTTGGGCAGATTAGCCTCATCCACCTTCAGAAGGAAAATCTCCATGTTGCTGCTTTTGAATTTTGTCTTTTTTACATATCTGTGCATTTTAAAATGACAAGAACGATTTGAAGATGCCTAAGGCTGCTGTGAGTTGTGCCCTTTTCTGATGATCTTTGGGCAGCTACCAGCTTTAAACCTTGATCAGCATGTCACTTTCATATTTTTAAGATGGCTGTAATTCTGCCCCATCTTATTTGGGAATATTTCAATCATTAAAGAAATGCATGATAATATTAGTATATTTATATACGTTGTAAATCATATTAGTTCACCTAGCTACTCATTTGCTGATGATTCCAGACCATATTTGTCAACTTTCCTCAGATCAAATGTTCTCAATACAGCCCCCACTTCTCTTGATTTCCTCCATGGCTTTTAATACAGCAGTAAAAGTCTTTCAAATGATTAATTCTACTTGGCACTTTTTTCATACTACTTAAAGCACAGCCCTCCCTCAGCTCATCTAGGCTGAAACTCTCATCCATGACTTTATTACCTTTGCCAAGCATTCCACTGATCTCCAAGCTAGCATCCCACATTGCATCCTGTGTTATATATTTATTTCATATATATGACATATTCATACAATGCCTTTCTTTAAATTTTAAACACTTGCACATTTAAAACATTGCTTGTGTGTCATTCTATGGCCTATCCTCCTCCTATCTCTGTAGCATCCACCTGCCTACGTCTCTTTATTTTCCTTATAGTAAGTTTAGATTTTCTGTCAATCCCTATTACTTCCATATCTGGCGAGGGTTTTTAGTAATTCTCTGTCTTGGGTATAGCAAAATGAAAGGTTTGAAATCTTGTGGACAATTCCTCATTCCATTTTAGTCCCCTTGCACATAATTGTATTTTATCTCCTAATTTCCCTTGTTGACTGTAGTATGATCAGTTATTCTTTTTATTGTAAAATTTAATTTCTGTCTGCCTGCATGTTTTTTTTTCAGTATGTTCATTGTTAAAATTTTAAGGTATTTTCAAGTCTAACTTCTATCTTAGAACTTGAGAACTGGAACTGTTTCACTTTTCCTTCAACTATTGTCTTCAATGTGTTAACCATTGGCGTTATCTTATTAGTACTTCCTGATTCATGGTCTCCTTTTTCTCTTCTATCCTTTTAAATCTTGGTCATGCTGTACACAATGTTGGTTACCCAGTAAAATCTTTAAAGTGCTATCATATTACTGGGATGACAATGCAACATGTTTTCTGACTGTTCTAAACACAGCATTGGGAAACTGAGATTACTCTCAAAAAATGCCCTACTTATCTTGTAAATGGGAAACGAACCCATCCTAACTTTCAATGTATTGATGTTTGTTTTGTTTTTTTTTTTCATTTCATTTCCAGGAGGTTCTGTTGGCCTTTGTTTCATACAAGCTGATAATGCACATAAAAAGTTACAAAAAATCTAAAGGCTCTATGTATTTTTTTGAGTTGATCTTTATTTTTATTAATTGCATTCTATTTAAAGTTGCACAAAGTCCTAAGAAATTTATTGATATGTGAAATATGAATATAAGTTAGTTTGATTACCTGTATCTCTCTTTCAAGGGTAAAGAAATTCAATTTGTTTCTTTTTCTTGTTTTTGTCCCTAGACCGAAGATAAATCCACCGAGTATTTTTTTCACTCAATCTCCTGAAGTTCTGATGAATCCGTATTCTTTCAGTGCCTGTTCAAAAGTCCCATCCATGAAATTTCAATTCTCTTAAGACACCGCATTCATTCAAAAATGCTACATGTTGGGAACATCTGTGGATTACAAAAAAAATGCAGAATTACTTGTCTATCACTAGAGATTGTTGTGGAAAACTCAGCTTTCAACACAACCTATCTGCCTTACTGAATGTATCAAACTTTCAATTCAACTTGAAAATAGAACACTATTCTGTGAATGTGAGGATAAACTGTTTTTGGATCATAATTCTATCTGTAGATTTTTGGAAAATACTAGCCAACATTGATACTGAAGAGCTACAAATCTAAAGTACAACAAATGAAATCAGTAATGCTGTATTGACTCATCTACGGGGAAAATAGAAAATGACTTTGATATAGAACCAATCCAATTTTAGTATTGTGTGTACATCCTATTAAGCTATCCAAAAGGAAATATCAAATTAATGTTCACAGAAGCAAAGGGAATTTACAACTTTGAAACACAGTTCAAAGGACAATATTACTAAGGTATTTTGAATTGCCTGGTTAAACAGTGGATACACTACATAATCCATATTTTCTGAAAAGACTGATGCAGACTTCAGTATTCTTAATACTGTATGTTTCAAAATTAATCTATCTCTGATCTCCACAAAAACATCCATTTAAGATGAATTAGAATAAGTAAGATTTTTTTCATATATGTTGAATTCCATGAGTTGGTGGTTTTAAAGCAGGAACAGGAACTACAATTTTATTGTTTGTGAGAAGCTGCAGTTTCTGCATTCTTGTACTAGTCAAATATATTTCTGTACGTGTTCATATTATGGTGTTTCTACTGTTATGTACACCATTTGTCTTTGATTCTCAGGAACTCAGTACAGTCAAGTAAGTAGTCCCTTTTTTTAATCAGATCATGTAAATTTACTGATGTGCTGAAGTTTTGTCTTTAAATAATGAACAGCCCTTCACTCATGGTTGAGTGTTGTACTTAATGATTCAAAGTTCAGGTTTTGTTGTTTCTTTTAAAAAGAACAATCAGTGATATACTGTATTTCAACCAAATGTTTCAGTGCTAATTCGTATACAAAGTAGAATAGGTTTGCAAAAATATGGTTTTAGTTCATTGTGGATAAAATACTATTTTATTGATCAAAAGTTTAGTGACTGCAACCACCTAGCAATTAGCAAAGAATTATGGATTGAACTTAATCCCCAGTCATCATTCAATCCAAAAATACCTTGTATAATTCTTCTGGTAAGGTGTTTGCATTTGTATGTTGGCAAAACTAGTGCATTGTACGAGTTAGTTCGGTGCAAATTCCAGTGTAATATAAATATTTGTTGTGAAATGTTTTCAATTTGTGAATATCTATGTTTTCTGTACATATTTTATTAGTAAAGAGACACAAGCAGTGGTTTAACTTTGTTAGAAGTGGTACATTGTAAATCACTGTTTAAGTCATAGCTTGAGCATTGTGGATAATTTTGACAACATATATTAGGAACATTTTAAAGGCCTTTGTAAAGGTGCAAAGAAGGCTTTCTAAGGTGCTGAGAAAAAAACGCTCTTCTCCTAAGAACAGAGAAAATGAAGAGGTGACCTAATAGAGATTTTCAGGATGATGAGAAATTTCATTAAAGTAAATGGATCAAATAAAATGTTCCCTCTAATATGGTCCAATAACCTGGTCATTGATTTAGAATACATAGCAAAAGATCTAGAGGGGAAATGTAATTTTCTTTTCCCAGAGTTGTCAGATCTGGCAGGTTACATGAAAAGATGATGCATTGGTAATTTAAAACAGAGAGTTGAACAGTTACTTGGTGATGAACTTGCATGATTACAAAAAAGTTGTAGAGAAGTGGAACTAAGTGCAAGACCTGTTTCAATAAAATGACTTCCATCTGTGCTGTAAATTTCTGTGATTCTAACACAGTATTAACAGTAGATTTATGGTACAAGATGTTGCTGTAAAGAAGCTTCTATTTTCTCCAGTGATCCACGTGTTATATTTCACTTAAAAGACTAAATCCTACTGCAGCTGCTTGTGCAGGCATGGTTTCTCCAGCCATTTATGACATAATTGTATGTTGTGTAACCTCATCTTCCAACCATTGCTTGTTTTTGCCATGGCCCCATGCAATACCTTGCTGCTTCTCCTCACATCAGCCTACTTTTTCCACTGCTCCCTTCCACTGCCCCTTGCCTGTGCCTTCATTTCTCCCCTTGAATCTCTGCCATCCATCCAGAAGCAAGCCACTGGTGAAGGAAGCAGCAAAGAGCCAGGGGAAGGAGCTGAAGAAGGAAAAAGATAAGAGAATGAAGATAAGCAAGGAGAAGCAGTGGAGGGAGTGGCAAGGGGACACAGGAGATGCAAGAGGTAACAGTGATGGAATGGTCAGGAGCTGCAGGAGGATGCAAGGGAATAGCCAGAGAAGTTAATTTTTTTTTGTATTGTTTTGGTTCATTTAATGGAGGCAGCCAGCTGACCAAGGTGTCATTGTCAGTGATACTACCACCAGAGAGACTACATCTACACATGTGCAAAAATTCTCCTCCTAGTGTGGTGACGCAAGTAAGTTTAGCCTTCATATAATTCTAAGTTAATTAGAATGGATTATTGGTTATGTGTCAAATTATATAAAGAAAGCTATGCACAATGGAATATGAAATATTTAATATATTGAGGTTCTTTGTATTGGCATTATTTTTTCCAAAACACATTTGTCAGGGGCATATACTTAATGCAAGTAAGTTAGAAGAGACAATGTTGTTCAATACTATTTAGTTAAACACTGAGAGGTTCTTTCTACTGTATTGTCACCATTCACCGATCTATTGCAAACTACAGAAAATACAATTATGCATTAAGCTCCCTCCAAAAAAGACTAGTATTATCTGGGATGGACTTTTTCTTTAGAAACAGTTTCTGAACTTTCCCTTGTGGGTATTTTCAAATCAACTGTTTGGAATTGCTTCGAGAGCAGATGGGACTTGAACCTTAACCTCCTGGCACAGAGGTTTAGGAAACTATTGCTGTGCCATATTGTGCCCATCTATTTGAGTCTGTACAGCATGCAATTTTATACATTTTTAGAGGTCACACATGGGCTTCCTCTAGTTTAGTTATATCCTTCAATTGCATGACCATTCCAATTGGTCCGTCAACAAATTATGTGCTTCATGGCTTCTTCATATTTTATACTGCTTACACGTACCATGAGGACAATTCTGGCCTTCAATGTACACCACTGAACATTGATTCTCAACTCTAGGACCAATGCTTTATTTGTAAGTTGTGTTCTGCTACCTTGTTGGACTTGTTATATTGTTGTCTTGCATTTTGGTTTTTGAATCCCCGTTTTCATGCTAGTCTACCAAAATTGAACTGCAAATACTTAATTTGCAAAGTACTGTAGGAACAGCACTGGCTGCAAGGAGTTGTAACACTACTCAGCAGTTGAATTTTGTTGGATCAACATAGCTTTAGAGGAAGATGTAGATTTCAGGCAAAAGGGTGAAAACAAGTCATTTTGTGGCTAATTTGCATATCAGCATTAAAAATTGATGTTGGACATGAATTTCAAATTTTTAAACTGGGAACAGAAAAGCTGGATTGACGAATGATGAGAAATTTGCTGAAGTTTCATAGACATCAAATGGGGTACTGTTGTAGAACCCCAAGTATCTGTCAGATGTTATCCTTTGCTGTACTGATAGTGGAATCCCTTTAGATATAGGAGCAAAAAGGACAACCTGCTGTTTTTGTTTGGAGGAAGACACAGTAAGAGCTTACTCTTGGGCTACATTTCTCAAGGTACTATTTACACATACAATTATTGTAGCTTAAATTTTTGTACTTCATTTACCAATTGCTGTGTCAAATGCTTTTAAAATAATTAGTTGTAAACCCGAGCTTTTAAAACATCCCTGACTGGAATATCTGATATTCATGTTCTTGGCACGTATCTGAATGGCAAAGCTTATTTCTCGGCTAATGTCAGTTGTAAGATCTGTGGAGATTGGGGTGTAGGGATAGGAAGCAGATCAGTGGAAGGCTAGGAAGCCAGGAATGGAGAAGGGTAAAAACTCAGGACTGAAGACAAATGGTCTTTGAATGTGGGGTTGGAAGGATAGCTCCAAGACTACCCAACTACACAAGTAAGTAAATGTGAAAAGCTGAATTTGTAAGTCACAGGTGGTCTCAAGGTATGGTTGCATTGAGGGCAACCAGCTTACGAATCCTGAAATTGAAGCCATAACAATCCGTTTCCAAATGCAATAAGTTGATGCCCTGTTACCAGGTGCATGTTTTATCTATAGAGAACTGTTTCTCTCAGGGCACCAACACAGTTTTAAGTGACACTTCTGTGTTCTTGACTTTCCAAAGCTGATCTGAACTTGGCCCAGATTAACTCGTTTCACCAAGCAAATGCCAAGCTCAGGGATACAATTTGTTCCTTTAAAAATAAACTCTATTTTACATTACAAATAGCAAAAGAAGTGTTGAAGTATCACCTTAATGCAAAGGTAGCAAATAGAGGATGTCAGGCCTCCTGAGTATTCCAGTACTTTGTTTTATTTACAAACAATTATTGTAGCTTAGATTTTGGAAGATCGAAGTCAATCTGACAGAATATCAGTGCAAATAATAAAATAACTTTAAGACTTTGCTGTTCTAAAAAGATAATCAAGGTTCACTTGTTGCTGAAACTGTATTACTGTAGCCACCATGTAATGTAAAGTGAAAAATATTTTTACAAAGCAAGTCTGTGCTATAAAATGGAGTACTGTGAACGAGACGCAGTAAAGATGGAGACTTCACTAGATTGCTTCTGGCACGAGAGCCTCAATAAATTGAGTTTATACTCTGGACTTTAGAAGAATGAAAGATGATCATATTTCATGCATTCAGAGGGATGTGAAATGGTACAATCGGAGTGGTTATTTTCCATGGCTATGGAATATAAAAAAGAGGAAGAGGACATCGTCTCGGGACAGGGGTTTGCTTTGTTGCACGTACTGAATGATGAAATAAACAAGATGTGGGGAACATGTGGAGTTGAAGTGTTAAATCAACCATGATCAGATTCAATAGTGGATCAAACTCCTGCTATTTCTTATATTTTTATTGGAAGCACTTAACTCTGAATTTGTATTAAATCTGAATTAAAGGCTTGTGGGTTCAGTTCTTATTTTCAGACTTTTGGATCTGGGCTATAAATACAGATTACTGCAATACTAGGGATGTTCTTGGAGAACCGATGGTTGAGAGGAGATTTAAGAATCAAGGGGATTTAGTCAAAGCAGACAGAAATTTCTCATTAGTGGAAGTTTGAGAACTACTGAGTGTTTGGCTAAGCTTGCTAGGAAAGATTACCAAGTTCTTGACAAGTTTGAACAATAACCAGTTATTATTACATAATGATTGATTCCCTTACTGATTAAAAGTCCATCTTGGCCTTGAATATGCTTAATGACCCAACTTCGACAGCCCTTTGTGGTAAAGAATTCCACAGATTCACCACCCTCTAAGAGAAAAAATTCCTCCTCATCCCTGTCTTAAATGGGTGACCCCATATTGTGAGATTATGGCCTCTGGTCCGAGACTTTTTTTTAATGCATTTGTAGAATGTGCATTTCACTAACTAGGCCTTCTCATTGAAGGGAAAACAACTTCCCTGCATCTATCCTGTACAGTCCCTAAGAATCTTGTATGTTTCAGTAAGGTCATCTCTCATTCTTTTAAATTCCATTGAGCAAAGGCCCATCCTGCTCAACATCTCCTTGAAAGACAGTCCCACCATAACTGGTATCAGCCTACCGAACCTTAACTGAATTACCTCCCATATAATTATATTTTTCCTCGGATAAGCAGCCCCAAACTCTTCACTATTCTAGATGTGCTCTGACTACGGCCTCGTATAGTTTTGTTTGGTGAGTTTGGCAGGAAATGTCATAGGAAGGTGCATTCACTACCATTTACAACACACATGAGCTCATTAGATTTTTAACAACTGTAGGCTGCCTGCATCATTTGATCAATAAATGATTGTCCTGGAGCTTCTTGGTATGCCCAGAACTCACTATCAACTCGATACAGGAAGGTTCAGCACTCAAGGTGCAATGCGTAGTGCCACTGTGAAGGCAGAATCATTTTTATGTTTCTTCATTTTTGATTGTGGACTGCAGTCAGAAAAGGACAGTTTCCGTACCAAGGATTGCATAAGGAGTTGCTGCACTTTTTAAAAAATAACAAACGTTACTGAAACTCATTGTAAGGTATGCTTACTCAGCTGCTTTGTTCAAATAGTGGGGAAGATTACAGGGTGGGGGTGTTGTGAACCAAGTG